AACCTCATTTTTGCGCTGACATCAAAACTCACATCTTCTCTCTTTATTGCTTTCAGTTTTTAGACATATTTTGATAAAGTATGATTCTGCACACGCGTTCTGCAACTCAAATACATACAAGTCAGGGAATATTTTACTGACAGCAGAAAATGTGAGAAATAACAGGATTTTAATAAACTGTTAGTTCAATGATTCAGTAAGATGAGGTTCCAAAAATCAAACCAACCAACCACCAAGCTGTGCCAGTTTAGTTTTAGCCGGATTTCCTAACAGTGAGTCAGGTACCTCCATGCTGACCTGCCCCTCGGCTGAGTGAAGTGTTCCTGGGGTACCTTCTGCTCTCCTCCCAGCCCCCTCGGCCTCTCTCCTTGTGGTGTTTGTTACTTAAAGCAAAAGACACAATGAGCATCTGTGATTTGCTTTATGCTTCAAAAAGCCCTTTCATTGCTAAATATTCCAATTCATTTATTTGATTTACACACTGCTAGCTACAGGAAACTTACAAATATTAGCTTTGGATAGATAAGAGTTTAAATTGTTCACCTTCTTCTCTTCCTTTCATCCTGGACCATGTCAGATCCTTTTATCACCCTTGACACCTACACGTGGCCTACACGTGGCAGATGAGTGAACGTGGTGGACACAGAACACACCAGCAAGCGTAACGCCGGGTAACAGTGTTCCAGCAGTGCTGGATGAAGACACTCAGAGGGTTCCATCCAATGCCCTGCAGAGCATTCTGTCACATCCATGGAACTCCCACAGAGCATCACAGTGGTGCTATATGATGGGGAAGGGAGCCCACTTGAAGGGCCACCTCGTGAATACAGCTTCGATGCTCCAAGTTTTTATTATTCCTCCTCCCTGCCTCCTGTGCAAGCCTCCTGCTCATCAGCACAAAGAACAGAGTCATAGTGAATGCTCACCACTGAGAGACCCACAGCACCACTTCCAGCAGCCCTGTAAGTCTGGTAAGCACCTAGAGTTTGATCTTTATTCTGTACCTCCACTTAAACACACTATCCTACTGCTGCTGTCTACTTAGGATGTCTACAACCTGCTTGGCCAAGTAGGTGCTCCATAAATTTTTTACTGTATATTAACCCAACAGCAGCTTTCTTAGTTCAGGTTACCCTTCACCTCTGGCCTCGACTTGTACAGGGCTCTTAAGGTGTCGCTCTGGCCTCTCGTTTTAACCCTTCTCCAGTCAGTTCTCCATACTAAAGGTCTAAATTCAAACACTATGTCAGCTACTTACTAGTTGCATGATTTGGGAGTTCTCTGCATGGCTGTGGGTGTCACAGTGTGACAAGTATCCCACACTGCACCTGGCGCACAGTAGGAACTGATCATGCTTTCACGGAGATCTGGGAATACAGAGATCCATTAAGAATCCTTTTTTCGTTCACTTTTGAAATAAAAGGCCAGAGTTTCCTAATTCAGCTTCTACTTTGATGTAGCAGCTACTTTTTGAGTAATAGATAATTCTTTAGCTACACAGAATAATAGAATAATTAACATTAGAAGTATGTAATTTGTGTCACTATTATGTCCACTTATTTTCTTTGGCATCTTTTAAAGGAAATAAAATTATACTTTAAAATATTAAGGACATAAGAAACAAACCAACAATTGTAATGCCCCAAATGAATCCTGAAAATTTATTATTTGGGAGAATATCTGATATTGATCCTTTGTTTTACAGCTCATGATAATAATCAGAAAATATACAATTTGAAATGAAAGTCAAAGAAAAGAATAATTACATATAATACATATTACATATTTATTTGTACATTGGCAAAGCAATACTAAAAGCATATTTATGGGTCCACAGTTAGTGAATGTGGCAATTTTCTGTTTTAAAGCTGCAGAAACTCAAATCCTCCTAGGGTCAGTAAAGGAAAACATCTTGAGAAACATTAACAGATTTAGGGCTATCACCATGTCTGGCTGTAAACCTATTTTTTAATCTTTCCCCTCCCCCCATATATATGCATATACTTTATTGCCTTTATATTTCTGCTGGTTTAATATAATTAGTATACTAAATAGTCTTCTGCATTTATTTGGTTTCTAAAAATATATAAAATGCATTGGAAAGAGCTCCTGCAGCTTTCAAGCAGTCACTGTCCTGGCATAGAAAGCTTACTCTGGAAATGTAAAGCAGCAATACTGAATAAATAGTGACTGTTTTATCTTTTTGATACAGCTGATGGATGGCCTTCACCCCAAACTTAAAAATACTGTAGAGCAAATAGTAAAAACATGCCACTTTAGAAAATGGACGTGATATAAAAGTTAACACTTATGAGCTATTTTTTAATATAACATAGGTCAATAAAGACAACTTAGGCAGAAGAGGGGTGTGAACACAGTACTGTTATTTACATATAAATTAAGGCCCAGTTTTCCAAGGCAATGCACAACGGGAACTGCCCATCTACTTACGTCCGCTCTTTGCATGCCTGAATCAAGAGTTTTCGCCTTTTCCGTATTATTTCCGCAATCCATTACAGTTTTAACTTGAAGAGATGTTCACAGAAATGAAGAGTTCTCTTCTTTAAAGACCATTTTGCTCTTATTCACAAAGAAAATTATCGTTTAATGCAGGTGTAAATTTTATTTACGCTATGGAAGCAAGTGCTTGTATGTTCTTACACACTGCTAGGGTTCATATTTCACACTATATCTATTTTTTACTGCATTTTTTTTATATGTATGTTTACCTTATCAGTCTCCTTTTAGTTCTTGTTTATATTGAATTTGAAGTTAGGAATTCATGATTGGCTCATTGATCACTAGGGGAATTAAACAACAGGTAATTCCTATTAATACTAACTGAAGTTGTGCATATAAAAAATTCCTTATGCAACCAGACAAAAAATTTACAAATGCTAACAAGCCAAAACATCTCCTAAGAACAACAAAAGAACTAAGGTTACCCACTATGGATCAGTCTCTGAGGATGGCAGACAAGCGATCAAATATACCAGTTAGTATTTAAAATTATTCCTTGGTAAGAAAAAAATCTTTAAATATATTTAAGACTTGTCTGTAGAAAATCACAATAAAACATCAATATGATTTTTAGAAAACATAAAAACTTGTCATCTAATTTAGTATTTAGAACCTAAATATTTCCCCAGATGCAAAATTTTATATTTGGTATTTTTATATACTATTGCTCACTCCCCCCTTGGAAATGTATCCAAAGATATAGCTCTTGATCTAACTCATTTGTATCCACAACAGATAAAAATAATCGTAAACAGATTAAAATATTTTAACATGTTCTTAAGGAAATGATTTTTTTCCCCTCTAAGCCTTAGAAAATATTCCTTAGCTATGTGCTTTCAGAAGTAATATAATGGATTAAAGTACAGCTGCTCAATGTATTTATTCATCATATTCATATGTATTTATTTTTCCCATATACAAAATAGTTTTTTTTTTCTTTCTATCTGTAATTAGGTCCATGAAGGTTGTTTGGCCAACTTGGAAATTCTGAGGAGGTTGTCAGAGAGGTTAACTGTGGAATGGTGCTGGGGAACCCAGGACTTCTGTAAGCTGCAAGGATGCTGCCTGTGTCTCTAAAAAGTTATGTTAATTCAATACTAATTTCCAGCAATTAAGTTGCATATTGACTCTGTAATTTTCATGGTATGCCAAGGCATTTTTGTAATTTCCAATTGCAAAGTTTAATATTACCTATAGTTTCACATTTTGATTTAAACAGAATGCAATTAATATAAAAAAAGTTTTTCTTTGTGAATAAGGTCGCAATTTCTCTGAACAATGACAAAATGACTCAGTATAGGATTCTTTAAAAATAAGGCATATTTTGGGCATACATAAATCATTATTGTCACAAATGCTATCAAATTATTTTGATTTTTAATCATCCTGATTTTAAACATATATTGATATGAAATCACTATTAAAACTGAGAGTAAATGTATACACGTTGTGGTTATTAGGGAAGAATCATTTACTTCTTCAGTTATTTGCAAAGTAGTGTAATGGCAAGATCAACTCGATAACTCCAAGAACCCCCCAAAATAACATCTTCAGGTGAGGTCTGCCACTTCGCTGTACTAGAAAAGGCAACTCTATATTATTACTTTCAGTTCTCTAGAAGCTTCTATATATTTTCATAGCCATTCTTACAAATTCGTATAGGAAATCTAAGTAAAGCAGCATTCTCAGCATTCATGAAACCAAAAATAAGTCAAATGTGTTAAAACATCCAAAGTTGCCTTCATGCATAATACGTATCTTTTTATTGTTATCATAGCATTCTCACTATAGGAATCCACTTTTGTTGCATGTAAATAACAGAAAATTTGTTTTCTTCAGAATTAAAAACTACTTTAAATTTTAGAGCAAAGTCTTAATTATTCTGTACCAATTTTGATCAGAGGGAATGTAAAAATGGCTAAGTGGTATCTGACTACATCTGTCTAAATATTCTCATAAATCTTAGTGAAGTCACTGCTCATAGGATAGGCATTGACTCATTTTTGGTTTATAAATAAAACAGCATATGTACAAATGGAGATTAATGTCTTATAAAAGTCAGGCTTAAAAATAAAAACATATACCGAATTTGACTTTATTTCCTTGGTAGAAAGTACCTAACTCCAATCTACTTTCCCTGTAAGTGACTGGAGAAGTCCCAATAATAAATTGTGTGCAAGCAATAACCTACCCATGGGAGTCCATAGCAATAGCCCATATATGAAGAGGGTATTTTAAAATACATCGCTTAAAGCAACATTCCAGAAGTAAAGCGATCTGGTCCTCAGGTATCAGTAACTATCATACTGTGTAAATTCTAAGGACCCATGAGAGGAGACCACAAGGCAGGGCAGAAACAAAACACAAAACGTATCTGGAAACCCACGCCTGTGTGGACAGATGGTCAGCAATTACATATTTGTTCAGCAGTATCTGACACGCTGCTGAAACCTCTTACACATACAATCTACCTCATGAAAAATATCCATTATGTTATATGGTTACTCACATATTTGGGAATATTGTAAAGGGAAGATTCGATTCTAGATTTAACTCCCTTCTCCCCGAGTTATTTCAACCTCATTAAGCAATGGCTAATGGACAGTTTCAGAAAATAAATGCAAAAGGGTTCTTGTGGAGTCAGTCTCAATGGTGGAGCACCCTATGCCACGTGTGTAGTTTAAGTTGGCAATGCATGGATGGAGTTTGGCAACATGCACGCGAAGTCATAATCACACAATATGCAAGGTATTTAAGTCACAGGATAAGTATTAATAAAAAAGAGTAAAAACATCAACATTCACACACTGATTACATGAAATAAATTAAACTAAGCCAATCACAAATGTCTCTCTACTCTTAAGTTGTGGTTTATTTCAGTATACACACGATGTAACACTTTCCTAATGCTCTCAAAATGCTACAAACGAAAACGAAGGCTTTGCATTACAGCTGCTGGATAAAAATATCAACACTGTTGTGTGAAAACACAGTTTCTTTGTTCTTTAGCATCAGTGCACGGGGTATGGCTCCAAGTGGTATGCGATTTAGGAGAGAAAAAAAGACACGGTGGCTTGTGAAATACACCCTCTGTTCGTTATTGGCACAAATCAAAGAGAGAGTTCTACTGTCCTTGGTACCTTTATTGGGTCTCCCCCTTAAAGACAGATAATGTTATACATATATGCCTTCAGGGTTAAAACCAGATGAGATAGGATTCTGTAGAATACGAAGATTACTGGGGAGCTGCCGAGATGAACCAGGTCGCTTCAGGGACCCAGACTGGAATGGCGCCTCTAAAGAGGAAACAAACAAAGTCATTCAAGCTACTGGTCAACTTAGAGTAGTTAGCAATATGAAAAACCAGAACCCAAAAGACAGAACTGCACAGAGCCAAACTGTAAGGCCCTGTGGCCCCAGACTGGGAGGGGAGGGATAAACCCGCTCAGATGGAGTCTATGTGATAAATCACTGTGTTTTCAGTGATTTGAACAGTGAGGGACCTTTAGAAGAGGTAAGCATTCGCCTCTCTTAGATGGTCACACTATATGCAGACATAGATTTGAAACTGTCTTTCAAATATCAGCTCAAAAACTTTTATAAGGGGAAGAAAGAAAGGAGAGGGGCATTCAGAACAAAGAGAAGCTAAAATTCATGAGATTATGACTCATATATACTTCCAGAAAAATTTTTATAATGAAGCAGTTAAAAAGTAATGGTATGAGATGAGTAATGGTGATTACACGCTCACCTAAGGAAATAAATAACCTGAAGTTACTGATTTTCCCTAGAAACAGGAAGTGTATTAAAAAAATGTATATGGCTCACTTAAAAGGCTAACACCCTGATGATACTCTAACCTGAAAGCAGTTTATCCAGAGTTAAGTAGTGAGGCCTGGGTGAGATGGCTCACACCTGTAACCCTAGAACTCTGGGAGATTGAAGCAGGTGGAGTGCTTGTGTTCAGGAGTTTAAGAACAGCCTGAGCAAGAGCGAGATCCTGTCTCTACTAAAAATAGAAAAACTAATTGGGCATGGTGGCACATGCCAGTAGTCCCAGCTACTCGGAGGGCTGAGGCAAGAGGACCGCTCAAACCCAAGAGTTGGAGGCTGTTGTGAGCTAGGATGCCACAGTACTCTACCCAGGACAACAGAAGGAGACTCTGTCTGTAAAACAAAAAACAAAAAACAAAAAAAATAAAATAACACAGTTAAGCAGTGAGAATAAAAGAAAAAAAGCACACTTGTCAACATTTATCAACCTTACCCCTTTGTATGTCCACATGTGAGGCCTCTATTTCAATGGGCTCCGCTGGCAGAACAGTAACTTTTGTCCCTGTTTGCTGGATAAACTGCTGGAGATTGACTTGCCGCAGCTCTTTAGTCAACTGCTCCAATTCTTGCTCTTTGTCCTAGATGGAAATTTATTATTATTTTTTTTAATTTGAAGATTCACTCTCAATCAGTTCAAGACATCCTAGTGACAAGTCCATCCGTGGCAGGGGTTAAATGCAGAATACCAACCATCACAAGGTCACATTTATATGGACACAATGGGATGAAAACTTACATTCTATTGCATAGGCCAAAACACACACAAAGGAAAGACCTAGCTTCTTCCATCTGTCCTTTTAAACACGATGCTTTCCTCTGGAACACCACTATGCACCCTTGTTAAATAAACAGATGCCTGTAAACTCTCAGTAACAAAATACAGGCTCCTATCCATCCTAGCAGTTATTTCCCTGTTATCCACTTCATATAAATGACTGCAAAATTAATTGTAATTGGATTCTTCAGATTTAGAGTACTTGTTTTTGCTGTTTCAGTTTTCATGGGATATATCTTATACATATCTTACAGCATGAGAAAAGTAAGATTCCCATAGGTTCTCACTATGAGGTTCTTAAATTCCTGACAAAGACGGATCTGAGAAATACAGAGCCCTAATGAGGGACAGCAAGTTTGGACAACTGGAATGGTCCAGCAGCAGGGTGGCATTTTAACAGCTTTTTACCTCTTTCTCTCCTGTACTGCACTGTTAAGAATAACTTAAAAGGGTAACACTCTGATAATACTCTAAACTGAAAGCAGTTTATCTGCCGGGGGCTGGGTGAGTCCAAAGCATTTGGTAGGGGGTGGGAAGGGGAGAGAAAGTCGAAATCAGTGGTGTTCTCCACTTAATCTGTGTAGGGGATACTTGGTGATAATGTAATACCACCCCTTTCAAACAGGTGGTGGGATTTACTACTAATGATTGTTCCAAATTGGTGTTCCCATAACATCAAACACATGAATCTACCAAATCAGAGGCTAACAACCTTCTACATAAAAATTCCTGATTTTCAAAATTCTGGTGGTAGTTTTTATTTCTCAACTACAGTTAGTGACACAGAAAGGACATCACATTGGTTTTTCCTAAAATCTCAGCTTTCTCTAATTATGGAATTGTTCATATTCTAAAGAAACTCTTTTCTAACTTCAAGAAGGGCAGGTGCTACTACGGAATCTTCTTACATCGTAGATCCTGAATTTCTAAAACTTTGCGCTGAAGTCGCCTGGCATGGACTACCAGAACGCCCAACAATTCCACAAGTATGCACAAGTATTTTTTTTTGGCTAATCGGGTTTCATTCGTGTTTGTGTATTTAGCTTTTGTTAGTGTTTCAGGATTTACTGTGTAGCCCAGGACAACTCATTCTTTCAATGTTCAGCAGAGACAAAAAAAAAAAAGGACACTCCTGGACTACACTTAACAAGCTTCTAAACCAACACGGTCTGCAGAAGTTCCTCTAGCAGTGCAAATGTTCTGTATCTCTGCCATCCAATACATGTGCTACTGTAGCTAAAAACAGAATTAATACGTGTGACTAAAAAGAGAATTTTAAAATTATTTCACATTTTAAAGTATCGTAGTGAATACTATTTAATCTTGATTGATTTAAATTTAAATAGCTGTATTATAATCAGTTGGGTTTCTTTCTCAGCTCATCTGGTAGAGGCTGATCCTTCTTTGCAATCCCCACAAACAATCACAGTGTCTTTTCAAGAACGAGCATCAAAGAAGTAACTGTTGAGTGATCCGGGTCCAAGGAGGGAAATATAAATCTTCTCACATACAAACTAGAGAGGGGATAAACTGGAGAGGAATCTTTGCGCCCCCTCCTCAGGAAAGCGAAGGGTTCTCTGGAGAGGAGAGGAGAGGGGGGAACTATTTATAACCAGGAAAGAAGCCAGGCTGGCTGACAGCAATGCACACGTGACAGATAAGCAGCCCACTGGCACATCAACCCTTGGTCAACAAATCTATGGAGTCTCTTCAGGCTTCCTTTTCCCGAACACTAAAAGGACCAGCTCAGACTCAGTATCTCACTGAGAGTCTACTCCAACTCCGAGACACTATTCTCTTATACCCAGTTATCTAATGCTACAACTGTCATGGTAAAAAAAAAAAAAAAACAAAAAAAAACAAAGCCTCTTCTGTGGAGCAAAGATTAGTGGCATTAGGTTTTTTCCTTTTTCTGGTCTCACATCTAAGCTTTGCCCTAAGTCACAAGAATTCTACAAAACTTTGTAAGCAAAGCTAGGTTTCTAATTCTTTAAGTATCAGGGAAAATGGACAATCATGAAAGAAGATGACAATATACTAACGCTTTGGAACAGAAGAAACGTTCTATTTATATAAAGATTCCCACCTGTAATCGTTTGGTTGCTTGTCCCAGAGATCGTTCCACGGCTTTAATGCCATTTTCCAGCCTCAGACTCTGTTGACCTTGGATGTCAATTTCCCCTTTGACCTTACCGATCTTTCCTTTGACCTCTTCCTCATTGACTTGGGCCTCGTGAACTTCCCATTGTAATTTTTCTGCTTCAAGACCACTTTCCATAGTCTGGATCTGTGCCAAATAGTTCTTTAATTTGGTTTCACATTCTGTTATTTTCTGTCTTATTTCTTGAAGTTGATCCTTCAGCTGTTTTTCATTTTCCTGTTCAATCTGTAATTCATTTTCCCAAAATTCCTCCTCCTCAATTTCAACATCATTTCTTTTGATCTTTTGCTCCAGGCGAACAATTTCCTCTTCGAGGTTAGAATTATACTTTTGCTCCCAAAATCGTATTTCTATTTCATTAGATTCCAGCTGTTTCTCAATGGACTGAAGCTTCTCTGTCTGCAAACGGATCAGCTTCTTCAACTCGTCTGCTGTCGTTTTGCAGTTATTCAGCACCTTTTGCTTAAACTCAGTTTCTTTGCCTTTTCCAAAAATGTCCATTAATCCTTTGGCACCTCCTGTAAATGTTAATGATTTCCTTTTGGGTTCTCTCCTTTTGATTGCTTTGTCAATCTGAGGCCTCAGTTTAGCTAAGGGGGGCAGACTCTGCCTGTATAAAGTTCTTTCGGGAATCCGAGCCACACTGTCTGAGGTGGGCCGCTCACCGAGAGATGGCCCTGTCCGGCGCAGAATCAGTTGCACATCACTAGCGTACTGCCCCCATTTGTTTAAGGATATGATAGGATTTTCATGAGGTGCTAGGTGTCTTTCAGTATCTCTCCATTTTTCTATAAGGGTGTATCTTCCAGTTCGACCTGGATAAAAAAGATAATAAGGTGTCAAAATAGGACACGTTAACGGCTAAATAATGCAAGAGAGGCCACATTTGACAGCTATCCTGATTAGCACCAGACAGTCTAGTTTTAGAGCCCAGTCCGTGTTGCCTTTCAAATCTTCACCTGAAGATACCAACCCCCTTAGGATACGCAACAGTACAAAATTATAGGATGTATATTGCATACACGCTTCAGAGTTGCTGAGAAATTCAACCTGCGTGAGACTCTTAAACTCTTGTCAAATGCCTGATTGCCTAGAGTAACTGATTTGAGGCAACAGTGAACAAAGTTTGTTTTCCACTGAAACAAGGGAAGCCCCTAGAATCCCTATTTGAAGTCACAGGGGGAAGGGCTGGTCCCAGGAACTAGGGAGAACTTCAAAACTTGACTAAACACCCACTGTGCAAACCCCTGTGCTTTCGCTGCACATTAGGACTTGGGGAGGCTGCCCCCCCCCACCCCCGAGGGAGACTTGGAGGCCACAGAGAACCTGCTACCTAGCTAACAGGCAGCTGCCAGGTCTCCTGTCACTGTCCCCTGAGTGCTCAGCCAACCACAGCCAACCCACACAGCGTTACCTTCCTACACACTGATGGCAGGAAAAAAAACCACCTCAATGAAAACAATTCTTCAAATGATTTCATATAATGAGAGGGGCCTGAAGATAAGACCTCTACATGATCAGTTTTCATAGTAATAGTTTTAAAGATTCTTTTAAAAACCAAAATAAATAAGTAAAAGCAAAGTGAAATATTATTTATAGAAACCAGGATAAAATCACATTTAAATTTTAAAATTATACTGAACCTATCTAACAATTATGGAAGATAAAATTTCAGAAGACAATGTAACGTCATACGTTTGAAAAATCTTCCTACATATTTCCAGTTAAGGTGGGTAGTTCAGAAGGATTATCTTAATTTTGTAAAAAGTATACATTAGTAGTTAGTGTTATTGCAAAGAAAACAAACTGACCCAGCCATGTGGCACTTATACTGGCATCTGTGTGCGGGTGAGAGAGTATGTGTGTGTATATATATATATAAATTTTTCTTTCCTGTCTTCTTTTTAAAATTTCATAAGCTTCTGAGCCATTACTGCTTCAACAAATGGAGATCTGGATATGTAAATACGAAAACCTGTGTATGCAATTCAGAAGTAGCACAAAGAATGGTTTGCTGTAAGCACAGGGTGGGTATCTTCTTCAAGGAAACCTGAATTTGGGTGCAGCTGAAACTCAAGTCTTTGGAGGCAAACAGGCTGAAGTTTTAATCCTGAGTAAATTTCTTACTAGAGAAATAGCATAACTTCACCTCTAAAACATTCAGCAAATTCTGAGGGTCAAAAAACACCCACCACATTGCCTGGCCCATAGCGGGCGTTAATACATGGCAGCCATTAGTAATGTGAGACATGCCTCTTTGCATAACATAAAGGCTGACCAGAGACCTCCCTTAAATTAGTGATGTGTCATGACGATAATCCGACTCTGAAAAAGCAACTTCCAACTATATAAAGCTGGACAGAGTAGAAGGAACAAGGGCTCTGGAGAAGAAAGGCTTGTGCTTCAGTCCTGTTTGGGCTCCTACTGTACCCGCATGGGTTGCACAGACTGTTAAGTTTCCTTAGCCTCCTCCTCTGTATGGTAAGAATAGTCTTTCCTTACTGACAAGGTTGTCTGAGTGTCAAAAAAGAATATAAAATGTAACAGTGTTTTGTGAAAGTGAAAGGTGCTATGTAAATACCAGCTATTACTATAAAAATACCCAAGCAAACAAGGGGAATGAAAAGGAAAGCATATTGGATTGCCTTTTCAGAATAAAAAAATGTTTCCAGTGATTTTCAGGTTAAAAATTACTATAACTGTCCAAAGAAAAACCTCATGACACATCTGCAAGGTTAAAACTGCCCCATGCACGCAGACTGCTTCAAAGATCACAGCTCTGCTGCCATCAGCTACTCCGGGCATATCATTCCTTCTTCAGCTACGTGAGGGGTTAGAGTACACTGAAGAGTCCCCTCCAGTTCTGCCAGGCCAAGGAAACATCTTTCATATGAAAACTGCATCATTATATTATATGAGCTAAACTAAAAAATTTAGAGACTCTAATTTAGTCTTAATCAAATATAAAGCTGACGCTCCAATGTTAATGGTGGTGCAGCCCTCTGAGAATGTCTTGGAAGAAGACTATTCAGAATTCTCTTTGCTGCCAGTGTTTCCTTTTTTAAATAATGCATATTTAGTATCATTAGGCAAATCAAAACAAACACAAGAAATCCAGCAATATAAAAGAAGTTTTGGCTTGGTGCCCATAGCACAGTGGTTATGACTCCAGCCACGTACACCAAAGTTGGCGTGTTTGAACCTGCCGGGGCCAGCTAATCAACATTGACAACTGCCACAAAAAATAGCCGGGCATGGGCGGCACATGCTGTTCAGTGAGTAGGGAGCCAGCCCCATATACCGAGGGTGATGGGTTTGAATCTGGCCCCGGCCAAATTGCAACAACAACAACAAAAAAATAGCTGGGCATTGTGGCAGGCGGTTGTAGTCCCAGCTACTCAGGAGGCTGAGGCAAGAGAATCACCTAAGCCCAAGAGCTGGAGG